GAGGGAGGGAGGGAGGGAGGGGGGGTCCGGGGTCGAGGTCTTCGGTCTGATCGTGCAGAGGTGTGCTCCCGGAGACATGTGTTGAAGACTTACATGCAATGAATGCCAGCTCTCTTCAAGAATCTTCTTGGATCCGCTGCGCAGGTTGGGTGACATCGTCTTCCCGGAAAGGAGCACCGTAGACAACTTCGTCTCTCGTGCTCTGGCTGATGAGTGCAAAAACCATGGACGCTGAACCCAAAGGTGTTGTCTTCTATGTCGTTTTTGTTTTCACTTGTGTTTGTTTGTGGCACTGTCACTTCGGTTGATGCAGCCCAGCGCTGGCCCACGGGTCTTGTGACCAGGGTCGAGTGGCAATGCTGGCAGAGTTGAGTCGCACCAGCCTCTTCAACTGCCAGACCGTGGCCTAAAGCTCAAAACAGGCACGAAACTAAGCCCCCAAAATGGTGACTAAACTCCAAGTAGCTGGTTTCCTTACTAGCTGTGCCGGACCTTTGCAGGCATGACTTCCATGATCGTCCAGTTCAGGGTCAAGGTAACTGGTCCTCCTGATGCGGTGGGTTTTCGTCTGAGGTGTTCTTTGGGCCTTTGCTTCAATAGAAGACTGCACTACCTTACAGAGAACACCATTTCTAGAATCAGTAGTGGTGCAAGGGATGCCAAAGTAGCCATCAGAGATGAGCAGAGTCCCCCAGGTCTCGTGACGATGAAGGACCGAAATGCAACAAACCTGGGTTAGCAAAGGAGGCGAACCTAGTTTCGGCGCCTTGGAGCTTGATGAGGGTTTCAATTCGGATCAACAAGGGCTCTCTTTGGCGCCTTAGCAATAGGTGCATTTGGTCAGGGATTTTTATGTTTGAGAAGGATGCGACAGTGTGGGGTCTACACTAGGACTATCTCACTTGCTGAGAGGCCCATGTAGAGGGACGACACCCTTTTTTTATTGAGAGGCATACTCTCTAAACTAGGGCCTGCAGAAGGGATGATGGAATTACGGTGTATCAACGCCTGTCGGTACTCATTCCCCTGTGCTCCGACGCTTGGACTTCTGATCCTGAGGCCGTGGCTACATGCGTCGTCCTAGCAGTGATGTGTTCAACTGCTGCGAAACCCTAATCCCCAATTCTGAGGAAAATGCTCTAAATAGTGAACCAGTAGCCCTGGCACAGGATGCTTCTGCAGCCGACGTCGGCTCTCTGTACGACTTCGACTTCAGCGCCATCAAGAAGCATGACTGTACCGCCCCTGATAGTTTCATGCTTTGTTTTGAAGTGTATATTTTTTTTGCCCGTGCACGGACTCACAACGCAGATGGGCATACGGTGTTGCTGATACGTGTACGGTTGCAGTTGCGGCTGTTGCTGTGTCGTTGTCGTGGTCGTCGTTGTCGCCGGCTCATCGTCGTGGTTGCGGTGGTGGTCGTCTTTTTTGTTGCTATTGCTTGATGCTGTCGCTGTTGCTGTTGCTGTTGTTGATGGTGTTGTTGTCGTGTTGGTGGCGGCGGTGGTGGTGGTTCGTGGTGCTACTGCTCATAATGTCTGCTGGTGGCGATGCGGAGTACTGCTGACGATCATGAGTTATGACGATTGGTGTTTACACGGTCATGATGGTGATGTATTCATATGTGGTGATTCTGGTTACGCTGAGGGCGGTTAGGGATGCTGCTGCTAGCAATGATCATGGCGCACAATGACGTCCATGCTTGCGTCGCCACTTCTTCTTCGAGGCTCTCGTACACCATATGATCAAATCTGCAGGCTTCTGCAGCATACTGGAGAAATCCCCATGTGTTTTGCTTGGAGTCTTGATCGTTTTTCGGAGCAAAGTGTCACAGGGGCCGCATTCCTGTTTCTGCTGCCGTTCACCTGCAGGCATCGATGGTTGAGGCTGGCAATCGCACAGCGTGTGCCGGCCTTTCTTCAACATCGCTTTGTTTGCCTGATACACAGACTTCGTCTTGATTTCTCGATGACTTTATCGTTAGGCGCAACCGCGAGGTGGCATAGTGTCCTCTAACAACGGGGTAATTAATTAATGACTAGTTAGAAGCATCTTTATTCAGCTACACATCTAGCCTCGTGTTGTCGGCTTCGCTCAATTGGAGCAGGTCTGGCATCGCTAGAGCTTTAGCATCTTTGGAACTTTTGCTTGCGCAAAGTATGCCCGCATTGACAGAGGTAGTGCCAGGATCAGACGGAGTACCGTCGGCTTTGACAGTCTGGTGAGCCCTAAACTCTTGAACTCCTGAGCTGGGATCTTTTGACAGCCCTCTTAGAATGGGTGACTACAAAGAGCAGAGAGAAGTCAATAATTGAGTTTAGATATGGCGGTCGGAGTAGCTGGCGATGCCAAAAGGAATGCAGGGCATATATTTGAAAGCGCATCGGCATTGTTAACCATGGAAGTCTACACGACGTTTCAATCATAGAAATGAAGAATGCAAAAAGGCGCGGGGACTGGGCTGCCCGGCAGTTTTCGGGAAGCTGGATCACGGCACTATTGAGAGCGCTGGCAAGCAGATTAAGTTGAAGACATCTAGGTTCAAGAACAAATGCAGGAGGCTGTTTCACAGGCACAGTTGAATGGTCGGGTTGCACATTCCTGGTTGCGAGCGGACCTTGCTTTGCACATGGCTTCTTTGATTGCTGCTTCGTCTGATCCCATATCCTGCTCAAGACCGATGCCTGCTAGAATGGAATCTCTCGGGTGCAGCTCTGATCGTCGAGGGACCATTTCAGAAGCCTATAATTACACCTAGTGTGGCTTTTTCAAGGGTTGCATGTAGCCTCTGGCTCTCCAAAGTATTCAGATCTCCACCTTCCAGCCTCCCAGGTTTCACAGGTTTCAGCGGTTTAGGAGGCGACTAGTCTATAGAGGCTATATAGGGAATTTTTACGGTTGAGGCGCCGGTCCGGAATTCACTCCGCCGCCATGGTGCTGCGATCCGCGGCAGATACACTCCACAGACCCACCCTCAGGTCCACAGTCCCGTGTCAATTTCCCAAAAACGCGCGGAGGAAGCCGGCAATTTTTCGCTTGCTAAAGAAGCCCCTGAAACCAACATCTCAAATTTCTGAAGCCCAAACACTGACAGGGAAGCCAAAAGAGTTCATGTGCTACTGATAATTACACAAGTCTGCGGCCGGATAGGCTTTTATGATCGCCTTTGGGCTGCATTGCCTTCAGGGAGCTCGGGATTTGGGCAAGGTAGGGTTGTCCGGCTTTGTCCTGCAGGGTATTCATGTCAGAGATGTCTAGAGATCTGTGTTTGAGGATGTCGATGCCCTTGTTCTTGCGCTGCCCTCCTTTACCTCAGTCTCGCTCGTGTCCTATTGTTTTTTTCCCTTTCTCCCACTCTTATTCGATTCGCGTCTGTATGTGTGTAGTATATAGTATAAAACAATATACATAGAGAAGACAAGTGAATGAACTGAATGAGTGCATAGCGAAGTACATACGTGCATGCATGCATGCATACACACATGTGCATATACTTATATGTGTGTATACATACATACATACATACATACATGCATACATACATAAACGAATATGTGTATATATATATATTAATATATATATATATATATGCATATATATATAATATTATATATGTTATATTATATTATAATATAGTATATTATAATATACTATAATATAAAATAATATAATATAATATAATATAATATAATATAATATAGCATAGTATAGTATAATATATTATAATACAATATAATATAGTATAGTATAATATGATATAATATGATATAATATAATATAATATAATATAATATAATATAATATAATATAATTATATATATATATATTATAGTATTATATGTACATATACACGCACACACGTGTACTTGTCTGCGTGTCTGTGTCTGTGTCGTTGTTTACATGTATGTACATGTATCTACCTACATATCCGCATGCGTGCATACACACCGAGCCGTCGTTGTTCCCTGCAGGTTCTGGTGGACCTTCGTCTTCTTTCTTTTGCAGGCATGGTTTCAATCACGCATGCCATGCGTGAGCCCCTTACCCTAAGGGTCCAAAGGATCTAACAATTAGGTACTCGGCTTACGGATAGTAGTTTTGTAGGTTAGTATTTTTGGGAGAGTATATGATAATTAGGTACTCGGACTCTTTAGGTTAGGGTTTAGGAATTTACCCTAGACCGACGCTCTGCACCCTAAATGCTCTTGCGTGTGTTGCTGTTATTCCTTGTTGGGGCTGTGGCCTTGCCCATAAAGCTGCTTTGGAATTACGACGCTCTTCTGCCGTGTCCGAGTGTGACAGTCGAACACCTAAGAACAAAAAGGGATCTTCAGCCGCAAAGCTCTAAAGAGCGGAGCCGTGAACAGCATCTTTGCTTGGCGGATTATTTGGTAACAGACCGCGCCTTGGTACGATTCTGTCTACCTGCCGCTGGTAATTTTCAGAGTTGGTATGGTATAGCAGCGCGTCTGCCCTCTTAAGTGGACTACGATCGCCACTCTGAGCGCGTCGCCCTTGTTGGGAAAGTTGGGCATGCAAGGAGTGGTGCCGTGCCATGGTCACTACGATGATGTTGCTGACCATGGTCTTGTTAAGGACGGTGGTGACGGCGAAAGGCCTGCTAGGATCATGCCCAGCCGGTAAGAAGATGTCAATGATATGACCGACCATAATAACACATGTCTGATCAGTTAAGTTATGACACAATGTAACCCATGCTTCGCGGATTGAGTGTGGCGTTTGATGATGTTTGGTGTAAGCTTCCTTACTGCTGTAACTATCAAAGACTGACACTTTCGCCGCTTGATTAGCTATTCCTTAGCGTTCCTTCTTCTACCTGTACTATGATATACCCCGAAACCCTGTTCGTATCATTGAGTAAGTGCGGGATGCAGGCGGCTGAGAGCCTCGGAGATGGCACTGTAGGCGAAGGTGGAGCAGGCGCCGTGCTTCTGACTGGCGTTTGGGAGTTTGTGTTTGGTCTGTTGGGGTTAAGGCTAGTTGAAAGTTTTGTTGTTGAGAGTGATATGGCATCTGAACTTCTGACACGGGATGCAAGACCTCACTTGCAGTTCGTCGCGGCCAGAAGCAAACAGGCATGAAATGTGCCACAATGTGCATCGGCACTGTCAGAACTAGAAGCCTCCCTCCACCTATCGGGGCTTTGCATATGGTCTCAGGAGGTCCCGTCGTACTGCCGCTGTCGATTCGTTCGGAGATGCATAATATCACATAGGGAAGTTCGAGAACGAGCAGCAGGACAAGGGCATCTAGCTTCCAGGAGTCTCGACTCTCGAAGGAAACTGCCACTCTTCTCAGTTCTCGCAGGCACTGGGCTTTGCAATGTAGAAGGAGCATACATTACAAATACGTCACAAATCTTTCAACCCTACACAGCGAGATCATGTCGGAGTTGTGAGAGTGCGAACCCGAAGAGTGCCGAAAACCTATGGAAAAAAAGGGTCCAAGTACCTAGTAATCATATGCTCTTCTGAATACTAACCTGCAAAACTGCGACCCATAACCCAAGTACATGATTATCAGGTCCTTTGGACCCGTAGGGATAGACCCCAAGGCCTCCCTAAACCCTAAACCCCTAAGCCCTCAATCCTTTAGACCCCAAACCCTCCCTAAACCCCACCCCCCAAGCACCGGACAGTGAAGCCGTAGTGTAGTGTGTAACTTGCTCGCTGGAACTTAATTTGTAATTCTCTGGCATGCTGAATTCGTAATTTGTAATTTGTTTTAATTTGGTGCATTTCGCCGTTGCGATGAAGTGGCATTTTGCCCCAGTTCTAGTGTAGTACTGGTACAGATCCTTGCGTTGGCTCTTTGTAGCTGTGGTTGTGTTGTCTGGCAGTGGTCACCCCTTACGGTTTGTACTGCTGTGCATGTAGGGATCACTGCAGCCAACATTGCCTGATGACGGGAACCCTGAGTCTTTGCATTCAGCTTAACAGATTTGTGTGACAGACTCGGTTGTCCTGTCTAGTACAGTCGAAGTATTGGCACTTTCTCCACCTCGCTAGTGGGCATAGTTCCTCAGCCATGCGAGAGGGCAAAAAAAGCACCGGACAGGGCAGCCCCCAGATCGAAATCTTCGTGGAGACCCTGTACGGGACCGGAGTTTCTAGAGGGCCCTGATTTGTTCATCTTGGGGTTCCTGAAGGGAGGAAGAAATAGTACTATGATATGTGTGTATGTCTATCTATATATATATATAAACACCTCTCTCTCGCTATATATATATATATACATATATCAAGACCTATTCTATTCAGGCCGCTATGTTATAGTGAGCAGGACCCGAAAGCAAGTATAGCTTGGCAAAGCTCTCACTACTCCTATCTCGGATACTTGGGTTTGACATGGTTTGTAAAATCTGCTTCGAACGATCAGGCAACCCCATAAAGATCCCTTATAGGCGTTTACAGATTTCTGGGGGTGCTATGATCTAATTGTCAGAAGCGTAGGTGCGTCGCTTTGAAGACTTCCGTCGAGCCGCAGAGCAGAATTGGAAGGAAGCGGTACACAAGTCGAGGTAGTCCGAGCCTTAAGCCCAGAGTCGCGCAGTCATAAGTCATAAGCCTAGCTATGATGCCTTTTGCTTTTGTCGCGGAAGCGCCCACCCACCGTATTCGCTTGCAGGACGTGCTCTCTACCGTGGTCGGCGTGCTCCGCCATGTCTCTCAGGCTCGTGAAGGTTGGGCTCTGGATATACTTTGCAACCAGCCTGATCTCCTCAGGAGCATCACGAGAAGCCACCTCAGCGCGACGTCGGCATTGCGTGTCGCTGGGTTTGGTTTTTGGAGACTCATGCACTGTCGGCCGGTCCAAGACAACCTGGAGATGTCTGTAGCCATCCAAGACCCCAAGATGTGCAATGGCCTTCGGCTCCTCCAAGCCAAACAGGGTATACTAACAAGAGTATGTCTTTTCGGCGGCAGGTAGCTTCCGTGCCGTGAGGTATGCTGCTTGGTTCCGTGGGATTTGTCATGCTTTTGTTCTACATCGTGCCCCTCGGCTGACGTTGCGAACTCTGGAAAGAAACACGTGGAACAAGTCTTCAGGATCCGGGATGCGATGCGCAGTAGTTTGAGGATCTATGCATGATTTGCGCCTGCACCGGGTCTTCACTTCGTGGTGGCTAGTTGAAACTTTAACACTGAACCCCAAACCCTAGCAAGGACCCTATAAGCCCTGAACCCGGATGTCAGACGAACCGAAGCCATGCCTGCCATGCGCGAGTGTGTGAGTTGAAGCTCAGAGCTTTGGAGGAACTGGAAGGACGATGACATCCGCCTCTATGCCTGGACCATTATCAGCACCACTACATGCCTCTTCACGGCCATTCTCTCCTTCTCCGGGATCAAGGCCTGGACAGTGGGAAAGTGCCCAGAATCGGCGGCCACTGAAACCCCGTATCCGGGCAAATTCGGGCCCAAGGCGGAACACGAAAAATGGTGCGAACTGGGAAGCCCCGGAAAGCAATCACTGGGTCCATTTCTACTCCCCTCTCCAGCTCTTCATCGGCTTGTGACGACGTGTTCTATCCTTTGTAACTGCAGTGAGCCAGCCGTGAGTTAGCAACGGAAGCAATAGGCCCTCAACCCCTAAACCCTGTAACAAAATCTGAACCCTAAAGCTGTCTCAGACATGGTCAGGTTCTCAGCGACTTGCTCATCCACATCCCGGAGGAGATGAATGGTGTGGCAGCCTGCCTCTATTGGTGCCTGAGTTTTTTTGTTCGTTTCGGTTCTCGTTTCACAGAAGGACCTAAGAATCGCAAAATTCAAAACCGTTTGAAATCCTTAGGAGACAGGCCTCCTCAAAAAAGCACGCAGCTTTCTGGGAATCTGGGAGCAGGCGCCCTCTCGTGCAGCCGAAGCACCTTCCCGCCATTCCCTCGTCCGGAAGTCCTCACGCAAATCCCCACATACATTCTACATTAAGATACTCTAATGGAATGTACTTTACAATTAATTATATACTCTGCTATAATGTAGTAATAATGTACTATACTAATTGATAAATAGACTATTCCCAGGAGTGTGTCCGGGCCTACTTGCTCTTCATCCTCGCTTTCTCGACCCTGCAGCTGGCGGAAGCCTCAGCAGACACACGTCCGGGAGCAGACGTGGCGGCGTTCCTGTCCCTAAGGCCGCGAAGTTGATTTCCGGAGCCTATTGCCCCTTGCTTGAATCTTGATCCATTGTAGGGTTTTGGGTTTAGGGTTTAGGAATCCACTGCTGAGGGCTTGCAGGTTTTATTGTGTTCTGGGCTTTCGGAGAGCACATGTAGGTTGCATGAACGTCTGGATAGCCATTCCCCCAGATGTCCGACAGTGTGTAGACCCTAAACAAGCAGATTGTTTCGACAACGCGTGGGGGCATGGAGTCTTGCCGAGATCTTTGGGTTTTGGTGCTTGTGCCTCTGCGGAAAGCGTACCTGTGCCATGTGAAGCTTTTGCCGTCTGAAAGCCCTAAAAAGCAAGACCCTACAGTAATTTACAGCTTAGCCAAGCTACGACTACGACCGGTCAAAAAAGATCCGGCAGCCCTGGAGAAACTCGAGAGCCTTCCGCCCAACAGCAGGCTTGGCCTTCGAAAGCTGACGGTTTGTTGGCCTCGGGTTCCGATTAAACCCTTTCAACCCTAAGCCCTACACGAGTTGTGAGAGCGTAACAAAACAAAAGCCCTAAAGCTCAGGCGACTGCTGCTGCCCCGTGGACATGAGTGAGGACCCCTTGAGGGTGAAGGTTTCAATGGGCCCAGGAGCTGCCATAGCCTCTTTAAAGACACCCATGTCGACGCTGGTCGGGGTAGCAGTGAGAAGTCCTGTCTGATGGAAGCCCAATAAAAGTTTAGAAGAAGGATCCCTAGAAGTCTAGTCTGATGGAAGCCCAATAACCCAATGAAAGTTTAGAGTAAGGATCCCTTTAGCCTCTAGAAGAAGAAGCCTTTCAGGAGGTGTGGGTCGTGGCCGATAGCTTGCGGGCTGACCATGGAGATGAGGTCGAAGAGAAGCAGGCGCTTCGTCGCTGCACTGAGGGCCCCATCCAACGGACCTTTCTGCCTAGAGCTCTGCGGCTGTCGCGTTCCAGTTTCGGTTCCGGCAGGCCACCATGATGGTGGTTTATGTGGGGCTTGATCTGCACAAGACGTGTGTTCTTCCATTCGGCATTTTCTACCGGACTCTATTGTGCAGTTCTTGTTGGCTTTGAAGGTTTGAAACAAACCCTGCGCTGGCAGGTGCGTACGAAGACAGGGCAGAGGACCCGACGACGGAACGGTGAGGCTTTGGACAATTTCGGAGCACTTCAATGTGCCTTTTCTTTTGGTCTTTACCTTCTCTCCCCATTATTACCATCAAGTCGGAATTTCGCAAATGCTCCCCCACGAGGATTTCTACTGAGTCGGAGGTCTCGTTAGGGGATGATTCCTTTGACGCGAGCCGGCTTTCTTGTGCTATACCAAGGTTGAAACACACACAATTGTTCATCAACCTACATACTATATATCTATAATCTATAGTATAATAATATCGATAGATAGATAGATAGATAAGAAAAGTATCATGACGTACGTACATGAGCCCCATCGTGCGCCCTGAGTGGAAGGCCGCCCATAGCCTTCCTCAGTGCTCTGGTTTGGGGTAGAAGGGCTAACACGATGGGAGAGCGTTTGAACGCAGTCATTGCCTGGAACAAGGTCCTTAAGCTTAACACCAAAGTACGCTCAGAAAACTACAGTGTTCAAGCCGAGTTCGTAAAGACCTGTTTCAGAAGTAGGGGAGTCGCTAGCCAGGAGTGTTGCCTGGATTGAGGGCGTCGAAGTCTTCGTGGAGAAAAGGCGGCTCGATGCTGCTGTTTGCAGTGGTTTTGGTTTCAGGGTTTAGGGCCGTTGAAACCCAAAGCCGTAATTGTCCGAAGCTGCTTGATTTCATGCCGGCTTGAAGCCGGGTACCTTGGCTGCCTTTGTTGCTGATGACGGTTCATGTTTGTGCAAAACAGCGGCGGCCAGCACAGCAGGTGGTCAGAGGTATGAAGCGACAAACGGAGCGTTTGCATTCAAATCCTTCTCAGGGGTTTCGCGACAGAAGCCTCAACAACTACCAAGATTATTCCTTCGGCTTCTTTATCTTCGTCTAACTTATAAGTTTAAGCATGCCACAGCCTACAACAAAAGCCTATATTCTAGCCATGAAGGCCACAGTCAGATTCTACTACGGCGCTCTGAAAAGGAAGCTCAACTTGGAGCGCAGCACGATGAATGTTCGAGCATGGGCACAGCTCTTGGCTCATCTGTGCCCTGGCTCGAGTTGGGCTTCGGACATGGTGTTATAGTCTTGTCTTCTGAGTTCGATACACGCAAGCCTTAAACCCTAAAGCCTATAAACCCTGAAAGCCCCTAAGCCCTGTAAACCCTAAACCCTATAAACCTTAAACCCTATAATCCCTAAAGCCTAAACCCTAAACCTCAACAGAC